ACTATGATGGAAAAAAGTGTTAGATTTAATTCAATAAGACAAGGAATTTGGAGTAATGCTTTAGTACACTCTTTGTTTTCCAAGAAGCCATTAAAATTTTAGTGCATTCCTTTGGGTTATAGATTGCCTCCAGATAAGCCTATGTGGACATATGAATCAAATGGAACATATTCGGTGAAATCTGGTTAAAATGTGGCTTAGAACATCCAATATGCTTTTATGCCAAGATCTACCTCAATCTATTCCCTATTTAATTGGAAGAAAATATTAATTGCAAATACTTTATTAAGGGTTAAACATACAATGTGCCAATTAATAAGGGATATATTGTCTCTTTGTAAACAATTAATGAAAGAAAGTTTAGTTACTGATCTTATTTTTCTAGTGGATGGTGAAGCTAAGGAAGATATAATCCATCTCTTTTATCATTGTTAGTTTGCCAAAAGGCTTGGATGTTAAATCTTTTATGTCTGGCTCATTAACAACATGCACATTTGTATGAATAGTTATTATGAATACTCACAATGTTGAATTAGAGGGACTAACATGGGGACTATACGTATTATGGGGTACTTGATGGGCCTATAATCAATGAGTACATTAGAAGATGTGAGTAACACTTCATGTTTTAATACAAAAACTTTTCATCCATGAACTTGACCTTCTATTGGAGATTGAGGCTCACACTATTGATGTAGGGATAGTAATATGTTGAGGATGTGGTCTCTACCATTGTAGGGCTATTTGAAGCTTAAATGTAATACTTTAGTTAGCAGTGATGGTTGGACAGTGTAATCTTTATAGGGATGAGGTGCATACCTACTCTTATAATATTAATAGTGCAAAGGCTCAAGTTATAATTTATGAAATATAGTTAATTATTTGGACTCATAAACATAAGATTTGAGTGAGATTTGCAATATATTATCAATTTACTTAAGTCATCACTTCATGCTAAAATTAGTCTTATATTAAATAACCTTTATTCTTCAAGTTCTTTTATATTTTGGTTTCTTGAATTCCTATAAAATGTAAATTGATAGCTCATATTATTATAAATGGAGTTTGATTGAAGTCAACTGATAGTAGTTATATTGTTATGGAAACTCCTATTTCCTTGGTTCCATTATTGTTATAGAATGTTTCTCCTTGATGATGCTCATCATTTTGTCTTTAAAAAAAGCAATCCAAGGTGTAGAGAAACTTCATTTTATTCACAATTTTAGGAGATTTAATTTTTCAACATTTAAAAAATTCTAAAAATTTATAAATAAATTATAAGTTATTTAGTTGTATGTTAGTTTCTGAATATTTTGTAAATTTAGTGTTCTATATTAAGAGAAAAATTCTATTAAGTTATAACTCAACTCTATTAGTAATAACTTATAGGATTTTTATTTTATCACAATTTAAAAAAATTTAATTTTATATCTTTTAAAAAAGATATAATCTTTGACTTAATAAATATTTCAATGCATGAATAATAATAATTCTGGAATTTTTTTGGAAATTAAAAAGAAAAAGAAGAAAATATATTACCATTTACACAATTAATTTTCATTTTTTGTAAAATGATAGATGAAAAGGTAACAAACTTTATGATTCCAGAAATGACTCATTAGTACTGGGGAGTACGTTTGACAAAGTCAAAGTCTTTTTTTTTTTCGTTAATAGGATAATTTAATTTTTATAAAAATGTTCTAATATATTTTAAGCATTTATTAAATTTATAAGTAATATAGTTTATAAACTCTTGTTATAAAGTTTTTAGACAGAATTCATAAAATTTAAAGGAGTTCATAAATTTTTAAAAAATATTATTATTAACCAAAAAATACAAATGTCTCTTAAAAATTTACAGAATTCTAATATATATATACACACACACATATATAAGCGCCTTGCAAATGACCATATTCTTATTTTTTCTATTTACATTTTTTACTCATCCACTTTGATCAAGTTATCCCTCAATTAAGTAATAATCTTTAAAAAAAAAGGTAATAACTAATATTTTAAAATTTTATTTTCAAAAATCATATTTTTTTTTAAAATTATTATTAACATAATAAACAATAAAATATAAGTCAGTTTAAAAAAACTTAATACTTTACTCTTACTTTATATTATTTTGTCTAAAAGATATATACATATATATTAAAATTATTACAAAAAATCAAAATTTGATCATTTTATTTATTGAAAATAATCTTATCTGTATATTTTGGATACAATTTATAATTTATAAATTATGTATTTACTAACTCATAAATAAAGTAATAAAACTTAATAAACTTGTATTATCTATTCAGTTCAATAACTTATTTTAAATATATTATATTTAAATATTTGTTCTGTTACATATGGATGGAGGCACAACGCCGACAACTTTCAACAATTACAAGAAACCACCACAAAAGTTAAAAACTCGCCAAATGCAGAACTTTGGACAACTACAAGGGCATAATTGCAAATTTGAAACTACTCTTTGAATTTTCTATTTCTTTATGTTTGAAAAGCATACCCCCTTCCTTTTTCCCTCCTTCAAATTTCTACTGTCTGCCTGCTTCAAACTCTCTCTGCGAATCAGCAAAGCCCTAAACCCAAACGGCCATATTAATGATATAAAAATGCAAGACATCATCGGATCAGTTCGTCGATCCCTCGTTTTCCGGTCTACATCAGGAGATGATGGCGGAGGATTCAGCGGCTTCGTTGAGAAGATTGGTTCCAGCATTCGAAAATCGCGCATCGGCTTCTTCCCCAGGCCGCCGGTACCGGCTTTTCCGTCACTTAAAAAGGATGAAGCACCAGCGATCCGGTGGAGGAAGGGCGAGTTAATCGGTTGTGGCGCGTTTGGCAGAGTCTACATGGGCATGAACCTCGATTCTGGAGAGCTTCTCGCTGTTAAACAGGTCAATTAACTTTGGTATCACCATTCTAGATATTGGAGATATCATTTTCTTTTTTCCTCTAGTTTTGGTTTATTTTGATTTTTTCAATTCAAATTTTGTTTGTCGCTATAGGTCTTGATTGCGGCAAGTAGTGCTTCCAAGGAGAAAACTCAGGTGAGGATTGTATTTTAGCTGTGCTTATTCTGGGTATATTATAGTATTTATTGATTATAGGAAACATATTAATTAGAAATTTCCTTTTCATACTCTTGGTGCAATTTTCGATGCGTTTATGATTTTGCTCCAGAAAGCAAGAGATCTACTCATAATCGACAATGTTAGGCTTTGAATTTAATTGATTTCTTTTACACAACAAAAACTATATCAGGCTCACATAAGAGAGCTCGAGGAAGAAGTTAAGCTCCTGAAGAATCTGTCGCACCCAAACATAGTGGTGAGTGCGATATACCAATTTTCTTGTATGCTACAACTTAAGGATGGTGAAAACAGACAAGCTATTTTTTTTTTCTTTTGGGGATTTCTTAGAGATATTTGGGGACTGCAAGAGAGGATGATTCTTTGAACATCTTGTTGGAATTTGTTCCTGGCGGTTCTATCTCATCATTATTGGGAAAATTCGGATCTTTTCCTGAGTCTGTAAGTGATTGTTGGTTTTTTTTTTTCTTTTTGAAACAAGTGACTGTTGTTTTCGACTATACAGAATGTTTGAGAATTATGGAACTGAAGCTGATGTGCAATTTTCATTTCCTATATAAATAGGTTGTAAGAATGTACACTAAGCAGCTACTGTTGGGACTTGAATACCTACACAAGAATGGCATTATGCATAGGGATATCAAGGTATTTCTCCTTCTCTCTTCTTCTGTATAGAATAAGGCCTGAGTAGCGGCAAGAAACTAGACCTAGATTTTATTTCTGAATTTATATAGATAAAAACATATACCATCTTCTCAATGCTAATTTTCCTTCTTGTTTTTTTTCGTCAACTAAACCTATTTTGCGAATAAATATGTATATAAGTTAGAAATAA